GACAGAGGAGTGGCCTGCTGTGATTGATGGGGCGAGGCCCAGCAAGCTGAAAGAGCCCCATCTGGATTAGGTTTTGGGAGCAGTCAGATGTTGAGAGGGAGGTCAGTAAACCCTGGATTAGCTCCCCCTCCTCGAACACCCCTATCATCCACACTCTTACACACGTTACGCTGCTCACACACCCTCATCCGTAATTGATGCTTGCTTTGGGCAGATGCTGTATGGCCTGGGACTAGAGCAGCTGGCTAAGTTTATGGAGGATAAAGGGAGCGGGATGGTACAGCAGGTATTTTCACTTTTATTTTCACTTGAAACTCTTGTTTTTTAGTCAAATCAAGGCATTTCCTTTAACCAGCTGCACCACTGCATGTAAGGCTTCTAATACATGTTTTGTGGCTTCAGTTGCTCTGAAAGAAGGCAAACTGCAGCGGTGATTGTGTCTCTGCTGTGCTTGATCTATCTGACAGAGCCGTTCTTATAAGCAGCAGGTTTACAGAGTAATGTTGCATTTTTCTTCTTTGTTTCCATGCCCTAAGGATATGATGCAGTTTGGCTCATTTAACTACAGTGTGAGAGGCTTCCTCTAAATGTAAAATATCTCTTGCCAAAGAAACAGGATGCACCAAACAGAAAATAGAGTAAAACAAACAATAAACTGTTAGTTAGACTTTAAAATGCAAGCAAGCAGAATGGTTTTCATTGAATAAATACATTTTTTATGCTGCAAATGTCTTTTTAAAAAGGAACACTGCATAATATTTTCTGTAGTCTGTCTTTTGTATACAAACATAACAAGCTTGCTTTATTATGTTTTGACACTTTTCATGGGTTTCTTAATTATGAAATCCTTTCAGAGCTGAAGATGCTGAAGTGACATGTTAAGATCTGAGGTACTAGGAATATTTCAAATTCTAAGCTTTTCTTCAAGTGGAATAATATATATTCAATAGGAATGATTTCACTTACCTATATCGTTGGAACGCTTTCCTGTTTTGTTCTTTACAGTTCAACATTTTAACCAGAAAGCAATAAAGCTGGTTTTATACACTGCCACGTAAAGCATATTTTTCAGTTGAAATGTGGTTTTCATTAAACCTCAGGCCAGAACATTTAACCGAGCCTGACTGTCTGCCATCCTTTGTTCTTCTTTCTGCTGCCAGCAACTACTTTATTAAAAACCATGCGCAAAGCGAGCATTAAAGGGTCGTTTAAACTTAAAGGTACTTGGAATTGAGTCCAAAATGACAACTTCTGTTTAGCCTCTAATGTCTAGGTTGTATTAAGCAACATCTGTGTACTGTCATCCACAGTTTAGAGATTGCCCTAATACCTGAGTTTGCAGGCTGAGTAAGGATCAATATTTCCTGTTGCTTTCAAGGCAACTTCATATTCTCAGTTTAATGAATTAGATCGACTATTTCCTTTATTCATTTTAGATCACTTTATTTTAAAGGACACAGTGACGTGCCATTTTAGGTGACTATTTAAAGAATTTTGATTCATTAGGATCCATACCAATGTAACAGTTTTGCGTCACCTGGAATTTCTGTCAACCGTGTGTCTATACAAATGCTAGTTTGCACTGTATTGTTCTTAATGTAAATTCATAATCTGAACAGCAAGCTACTTGTGTGATACCTACATAATTAGTAAAAGAATGTTCATATACTCGTGTGCCTTTATACTGCTTTGTAATATTGTGTCTACTGAATTTATTATGATTCAAAAATCCACTGATTTTGAAGGCTGCAGAAGTCTGTAGCTTTTAAGAGATTAACAACTCAGGTTTATTGTCATATTTTTTAAACTTATGTGAAGTAAGCATGGTTTTCTTTTTTTTTTTTCCTCCGAGTATATTTAATGATCATACTGTTTGGAATGATAACTTTGCGTGCCAGTGTTCTACTCGAAGCTTTTTTGTTTTCTTTTAATGGAAAGACTGCATTATTCCTCAATCTATAGAAGGGGTGTGTGTGTGTATGTATGTATGTGTTTGTGTGTATATATACATATATATATACACACACATGTATGTATGTATATGTATAACCCCCCCCAAAAAACAGCAAACAACCAAAAAAATCTGAACCAATCAAGCCTTGCCTGACCCTTCAATTCCTATTTATTGGTAACCAAGTCCCAGCTAATAAGCAATTCAGATCTCAGTGTAGTGCATCCAGTGAATGAGGCAGAGGAGCCTCCACAGCGTGTGTCAGAATTTCCCATGCAGTTTGCCATTCTATGGTAAATCTATATTGTGAGTTGTTTGGAGTTGCTGGTGAGAAATCATATAAAAGCTCAACTCTCTTAATTAAATATTAGCTGTAATTAGCACTAAGTGTGAATGCTTTGAATATTAATCAGGGTCTCATAGAGCTGTTGTCAATGCTAATGAGAAACAGTGGGTGGTCTCACAACATCTGGTTTAGGACTCAGAGTAGTACAAAAACTTGTAGATCAAATGCACCTGGACATATCTGTTGGTCCCTTTGTTATCATTATTGTTCTTTTTTAACAGCTGCTGACTCTAATGCCATGTTTAGCATCTAAGATAAACGAGTAGCCTAAAGACCATCAGTACCAGTTACTGAGCTTCAAAGCCAGCATGGTGAAAAATGCTTATACAGGCAGTTCTTTCTTACCATTTGCTGACATCAACCCTAAAACAGTAGATTAAAATAAATAAATAAATAAATAAAAATCTAAGCTCTCCTGCTCTCCCTAAAGTTTTACAACTATGTCTTTAACATTCAGTAAAAGTCTCTGGTGGAATCCATTCATTGCTGTTTTTAATCTGGATTTTTAGGTGAAGTAGAAGGAGATAAGAAAGGAGTCTATCCATTGTAGTGCAAGAGAACATAAATACACATTTGGAAGTTTTAAACCTCCCTTGAAAATTTTTAACAGGCAAGCTGCAGTGCAATAATAACCTTGGAAACATTGTAGATTTGTACTAATAAAACTTATTGACTTAACCAAGTGAAGTATGTAAATACAACTGTTTTCATTTTAAAGATTGTGAATGAAGTGAGGTATATTACTTGCTCAGGCCATGCAGTAAGAAAGTACCAAAGATTAAATTAAAATGGAGGAGGTTTTGATTGCTAATATAAAATCTTCATTTTCTAGAACGCAGTGAATGCCTTTTACAAAGCAAAATGTAATTTTCTCTTCCAAGTGTACCTTGTACCAAGTCTTGTTCCTGAAATGTGATTTTGGAAGTTTGTAAAAACTCCTGAGTTTAGGCCCAGTTCAGGTCAGGTCACCAATATCTGAGGTAGCTGAAATTGGCTGGAAATGTCCTTAGGTGTGAAAAGAATGACTTTTCTTGATCTAGCCTATTCTGAAATTAGGAAATCAAGACGAGTAGAAGTAAGCTGAATCGTTACAGTACTTCTGCATGCTTTGGTGGGAAAGGGAAAAAAATATTTTAAAACCAATTGCACATTTACTCAAATACTAATTTTTATAATTCATATTTAGAGGGATATAATTTAATCTTTTAAACCAGTTAGCCCATCTAAGTTTTGGAGTCCATAGTCCCCGTATTATCTGCCTGTAGTGCAGTGTCATCTGTAACATCATTGCTTGGACATAGTTTATACCTGAAGGGTTGTTTTATATGTTTTCTTCCATAGTATCATTACTACTTGGGCTGAGCAGAGCACACCAGTGATTAACCCCTTGTTCTTGGCTGTGGTGAGGCTGCACCTCAAATACTGTGTTCAGCTTTTGGCCTCTCACAACAAGAAAGCATCGCAGTACTGAATTATGCCCAGTCAAGGGCAGCGAAGCTGGTGAAGCAGCAGCTGTGGGAAGCTGGGGTTATTTAGCCTAGAGAAAAGGAGGCTCAAGAGAGTCCTTACTGCTCTCAACAACTACCTCAAAGGAGACTGTAGCATGGTGGAGGTTGGTCTGTTCTCCAAAGCAGCTGTGATGGGATGAGAGGAAATGGCCTCAAATTCTGCCAGGAGAGGTTTAGGTTGGGTATTAGGAAAAATTCTCAGTGTTATGTAGCATTAAAACAGGCTGTCCAGAGAAGTAGAGTGACCACCCATAGAGGTATTTAAAAGATGTTTAGATGCAGTGCTTAAGGACATTGTTTAGCGATAGCCTTGCCAGTGCTAGGTTAATGTTGGATTTGATGATCATCGTGGTCTTTTAAAACATAAATTATTCTATGATACTTAAGATGTTTCTCTGAAAAATTAGCATGCTTGACTTTCCACTTCTGTATCAAACAGATGGATAGATCTAGTTATGTAGTGATGAGATCTTTAATTTTATTTGTACAGGCATAGTGTAATACGGAGATGAATTACTATGGTCTTCAAATATATATAACCTTGTAAGTTCTTATGTCTATTTCTTTTGAAAGCCAGTAATGTAAAAAATAAAAATTAAAATTAAAATTTGTTAAATGGTGTTTTCAAGTTGATTTGTTTTTTAGATTCAAATGCTTAATATTGGGATCTGATTGTTTTGGCATTTGTGGTTTGCAGTTGTTCTGTATGTTGCGCCTCTAAATACTGCGTATGGCATTACTTAATGTAAATACTTCCAGGTGTGTTAACAAAATACACCTCAATTCTGTTCAGAGTGCAGGGAGCGTGTATTGAGTTCTGTAGGTGTTAAGTCAGAATGGATCCCAGGCTACAGGGTAACTTTACCAGAGCTCTGTATTGGTGGTTGCGCTCAGAAACATATATGGAATAAACTAAGTTTTGTCCATCTTTCTCGTCTGAGTTGAGACTTTAGTTGAGGTAAGATTTCACTGGCATTTTGCTGTTAAAGAACAGTCTGTAGTTACCCAGAGAACAGCAGATTTTAATTGTAATAAAATTTAATAGCGTTAGGAAAGTGGATTTAATTCAGATAAGAAATACTCTCAAGAAATCTAGTGTTACGCCCTTTTCAGGCCAGCAGTGCTTGCTTGCTTGCTAAACTATTTTATCTCACCACACGTTTCTTCCTTTTTTTTTCCCCTTTGATCTTCACAGGGTAATCAGGAAGCTACAGCACCTCCTGACACAATGGCACAGCCTTACGCCTCAGCCCAGTTTGCTCCTCCTCAGAACGGTATACCTGCAGAATACACAGCCCCACATCCTCATCCAGCTCCAGACTACACAGGCCAAACCACTGTTCCAGAGCACACATTAAACATGTATCCTCCTGCTCAGACACACTCTGAACAGAGTGCAGCTGACACAAATGCACAAACTGTCTCCGGCACAGCCACAGTAAGTCAAGGTTTTGGCTATTTTTAAAGCTGTGTGTTTAGAGTGATGTGTTTTTTTGATAACGTCAGTTTTTATGTTGACTTAATAATTTTACGCTTCACTTGTATTGGGATTGTTTGCATTTTAGAATGTGTTGATATTAGAGAATATTAGTTTTCTGCTTTTGGAGCCTCCTATGATGCTTGGGAGCATTCTGGAAGCTGTAGTTCCTTTTCTGTAACATCAGACAGACAAATTTGTCATCAGCATAGCATGCCCGTGAGTTGTATAGATTAGGAAAACCCAGGGGAAAAAAAAAAAAAAAGAATTAAACACAAATAGTAACTCATTTTGTGATTTTTTTACTGTACTCTGTATTTTTTGACGGACGTGAGCAGAAAACCTTTCATAGAAATACTTCTGAATGATAAATACATTGAAATTGCTTGTGTGAGTGTATGAATGAGTATTATGAAGAGCATATCTGCAACGCTCCAGAGAGTTTGTTCACGCAGTCTTTACCTAAAGTTGTGAGGGGAGTCTGTGCTCAACAAAATGAAAATGATAGACTTTTCTTCTATTTGATTTATATATGAAGTTCAGAAGTATTATGAATTATGCAAGAGACTCCTCAGACAGACGTATCCTATAATTTAGAAGTCATGTATTTCATACATGGATAGCGTACTGCTTCTGTTTTAAGTCTTGATTGGAATCCAGTGTGTCCAGTGCCCAAGGCTGGTAGATTTCTGAGCCGCTGACCACCTGCACGACAGACATAGGATAGAGCACAGAACTGATAACTCATTGCAGTTTGGACATATGCTTGAAGCAGCCCTGCCTATTAGCTGTCATCATTGTCCTTGCTACAGCCATGGTCTGTATCTCATCTTACTGTCCTTTACTCCCCTCCAACCTCAAGTCTCCTCAACCAGGGCAAGAGAAAAGGGAAAGCACATACCATTAAATGAGTTTCTGTGGAGACTTGTGTGTCCTGTCACATCACTAATTTCTTGCTATGGAAATAAACAAGAAATTAAAATACTAGCATTTCATATTCTTTATCTAGAAGGCTGGGAATTACCTAGGGCACTTGCATCTTATTATATTAGGAAAGAAGAGGAAGTCCTTGTAATGGATCTTTAAGAAAGCATATGAAGATTTTTCTGTATCCTTATGGCAAGGTCGTCACAGATTTATTAATACTGAGCAATAAGTATTGTGAAAAAATTCACCAAAGAATATTCCTTGCTATTATCATGAACTGTTTGTTTATGATCAGAAACCTCACCTTGTTAAGGAGATGCCTTTGTGAATTAGTTACACTGTTTTGTGATCTTCACAGTAGAATGTTTAATTCTTTCACATTTGACTTGACATATTTTTACTGCTCTGAGTGGCTCTTTGCTAACAATGTGAGAAAGTTGAAGAACATCCTATTTTCCTATATCACACAGTTTTCTGTATAGCTCTACAGTGTCCTCTATTTTGTATCCCTTTGCAAAGTAAACTTCTGGTTCTTTCCGTCTTTTAAAATTTTCTTCCTTAGTCTTTTATGTCAATTGTTGCCAAATGTCAGTGTCAGCGATTTAGAGTAGAAACTCTAAGCGAGTAGATAATCCTGAAAAGATTATTATTAAAAGTATCATCTTTTCTGTTGTCCCTATCTAATTCTTTCAATTTATTTTGCTTTTTTTTTTTTTTTTTTTTGCTGCACACTCAATAGGCTGCTGTGATGCCCAACTCAGCCTTTTTGTGTTTCAGAACTGTTCGCCTGTTGCTGTTCGGTTCTGAAGAAAAAGACTGTAGTTGTGAAAATCAATGGTAAAACTCCTGTCGATGTGAGTAGGGCCGAACTCATCCCTTGTCATTTACTGCTTTCAGTTTATTGTTTGCTCTCCTCTTTTTGATTTTTCAGTTTGAAGGAGCATTTTTCTCTTTATCAGAAATGTTGGGTGTATGTTTTTCTAACATCTTCCGTGGCAAGGACTGATGAAAAGAAATCACTCAGATTGTCTGTGATGCCCTTATCGTTTTTGAGTGTTCTGTTCAATCCTAGCTCCAACAAATCCAATGATTCCCTTGAAAGTTCTGATACAGTAACAGGTTTGACTCTTATTTGTTTTTGCACCCTTTGCTGTCTGGTCTTCTGATTTCCTTATTGCCGTACTAATTTGCAGCCTGCATTTTACTTGTCATATACTTTGTCCCTTCTGGCTCCACTAGGAGTGAATTTTCATTCACTGAAGGATGGTGCTTCAATTCTACTAACTCCTTGTATTCTGAGAATTTCATTTTCTTGAGTCTTTTTATTATGGATCTTTTTCTTGCCTTCCTATTTCTCTTCTTACAGAGAAATGTACATGACTTAGTTTAAATAGTTCCCCTGTTGTTCATAAAGGATTAGATTTCTTTGCTTTTGACATTAGGGTATTTTTGAGGAAGTTATTTAAAAAAAAAAAATAAGTTGTCTTTATAAATTGCAGTATTATATTGAAAGTTGTAGAAACTATCCCTCTCTGTAGAAGTGTACACTGAAAGTACCATTTGTAGCCTCGACTTTCTGTGCACTCCCAACTCATTTGAGCACTTTTAATTAGTTTCTGTAAAATGGATCTGGCTGTTCTATCAGCAGGTGTGCCATTTTCCTTAGGCTTATCTCTTTATCACATTCAAAAGTTCTTATCAGTTGAGAAAAAATATTTTCTTTTTTGCTTTTGCTCACATTTACTACCTAGCGCTTTGAAAATTGCAAGTAGGAGATAGGTAACTTCTTGATACTGTTAAGATTTTATTTCTCTGCAAGTTGTGCATCCCTAGTTCAAATATAAATACATGTTTAGCCGTGATTAGGTTTAGAAATGCTCTTCTATTTCCAAAAAGTATTTTTTGTAGTGTTTTTCTTTTTAATGTTACTTCACTCTATATTTTGTTAGGGAAAGTTTTGGAAATGAGTGGTGCTTAGTATATCTAGGGATTACTGACTCTGTACTTTGATATAATAAAACAGGAGAAAAAGTACAGGATGAAAAGGGAAGTAAATATTTAAGGACAGGATGATTAACTGAAACAATATAAAACAATCTGTGTGTGATAAAATAGGCTGATTTTATTTGGAGTCTTCTCTGAATAAGATGATTTTCATCTTTTGGATCAATATGCTTATTTAAATTTAATCAAGGAAGTAGTCTATATGAGTATATGCTTAGTCAATACTCATCCAATCCTGGGTTCTCCTGTGAGGTTAAGTGCTAATAGACTTTTGGAGTTGCATAGCATCAAATGTACTTTTAGTCATTAACAAAAACAGTAAGTTGTTTCCTTCAAGAAGGGTGGATCAATTATAGAAGTGTAAGAAACTTAAGACTGAATAACATCTGAATCTTTTTCCTGGCAGTTTTGAGTGTTACATTGCAAAGTGCAAAATTTAAATATTTTTAATACATTCCATCATTTTAGGAAATATATCACCTTTACACGTGTACATATATCTATGTGAATGTATTCTATATGTATTAGGTCTGAGAATAAAACTTGGTCAATTTTTGTTTCTGTTTTTTTTTCTGTACAGTTTCCACTGATGTCAGTTGGAGTTGGATTTGTAAATATAAAGTGCATTAACTCTGCATGTGTAAGAAAGCAGATAATAGTAAAGTTTGTTTCTCTATTGCTTCCCTTTGGAAGTGTATTATACTACTAATAGAAGCAAATATGGTATGGTAAAAAAAAACTGGTTTGTGCCATTCTGATTTTTATGTATGTGTGTACATGAAAAAAAAAAAAAATCACCTCTAAAGTTAATTATGCTTCCAATTTAGATAAACCACAAGATCATTCTGTAGTCTCTCTTCCTTGACATGTGATGTCATCAGATTTAAGTTTATGCTTGGACAGGCATCCTTAAGCAAAACAAAGCTGCTTTGAGATGTTGGCAGTTCTGAATCAATGTGCATCATGGCACTGGGGCTTGCAGTGCATCTGAACTCATTTAGAAGACCTGAAATGAAGCTGCATTACTCCTGTGCAGTAGTTAAATATCAACTTGCCCACTACCAAAATTCCTCACGTAGCACAGACTGAACTTGATGCTCTTCTCTGTAAATACAGTTGGTATGCTGGATAAAAATGTCTATTCTTACAGATGACATGCTTTTACTCTGCATTTTTGCACATCCTTTGGGAATTGATGGTATGAACATGTGTCATTTTCTTTTCTTGATGTTGTGTCTAGGTTTGTGCTTTCTTAATCATGTTGCAGGAACCATCTTGTCTTACAGGGACTTGGAAAGGCTCACTGATATTCTAAGCTGGAAGGATCATTTACCATGTTGAACTTGATTGTTTTGGTGAAGAGAGAGTTGAATTTTTTTTGTTTTCCTACTGATTTCTATGTTAAGCTTTTTAATTTGGGTAAGAAAACTGACTGGAAAAAATCTTCACATGAAAGTTCTTGAGTGCATCACCTAATCCCACAGATAAGTAGATTGCTCTTACAGTTTTCTGAAATATATATATATATTTGCTAGCTCCGTTTACTGCTCTATTCTTTATATAAACAACTGGCATGCTGTGTGGTTTTTTATCCTTTTTTATTCATCTTAGTTATCCTTTTTCTATCCTGTTGCTTTGTTCTTGGTCTGTCTACCTTCCTGATGTGGAAGTACATCAGTTCTTTCAAGAAACTGTATTTCATGATTAGCGGTAGGCTATATGCTGCTTGTTTTAGAGGTGTGGATCAGTTGTTCTCGTTTTTACAGGAGTGCTAATAAAGCAGAGATACTTAAAATGAAGTTGTCTTTAGTTTGCTCATTTGTCATGTAACCACGATTGTGTTCATTAGCCTACAGGTAGGCTTTTCTTCAGTCCGCTACACCAAGAAACTGTTTGGAGAGCAGGACACTTCTCAGGTGCTGTTGATTTCAGCTGGTATTAGACTTCTCTCTGAATATTCTGCTTATGCCTAATAGCTTTTCACATTCCATCTAGCACATAGATTCTGGAACTGCCTCTTTGTGTAGTTC